GTGAAGTTGTTCTGATCGTAAGGTGAATTTGTTTACTTTGGGGAGGCCATGTCAGGATGATATCATCAACACTTTTAAACTTTAAAGCTTCAAATACCAAAGATTTATATAGATGTATTGAGAGGGTTTAGTCTGGCAAAGCCTGCTTTTTGATGATCTAAATAGCTCTCCACACACCTTGGGACATTAGCTCCTATTGTTTGAAGCCTAGTTTGCTGCCAGTGGTGAAAACTGTGCATTAGCCTCTGGAAGAAGGTCATCTTGACTGCCAACATCAGCCTCTCTTATCATCCTCCAGCACTAATGGTCTTTCAATTAACCCTGGCAACTGGATATCAGCTCTTGTTTGGCTAAGCTGATTCTTCTGAGGGCCAACTCATAGAAAAGTACACCTCAACTAAATTTGGACCTTATGTCTTTTATCTCCTCTGTGCCTGTAACAATAGTGTAGTGAATCTATCATCAATTTGGGCTACATTATTACTTTGTAGACCCATTAAGAGATGTTATCCTGCATGTTATTGGCTTGTGAACTTTCTTTATTATAAATTACAGTTTCTGAAATGAACCTGTGCTAATTATTGGTAAAGACAATTTGTCTCTGAATATAGATTTGCCTCAGACAAAACATGGAACAGATGCAAAATAGACATCCTGTATGTAACTATGTGTACTCATCCATAGAAACTGAGGTCTGTCTTATGGATGAGGCTTAGCTTACTTAATTGAGCTTGCTCATTTTAAATAGACCATTGGGCTTTCCCAAATTCCAAAATAGGCACAGTCAGCTTCCACCTCATAGCAATGAAGAACATGGTGAATCAGACAGTGAATTTTGGAAACTGGCATGGTTAAGCTAAGGTTAGAACGATGCCCTCACCATCTCCTACCCACTCTTCCAGCCCACAGGGAGTCAGTGAAGATACAAGATATAAAAAGCAACATTATCATTGTGATATTCACACAAGACATGTTGTTGATGTTTAAGAAAATTAGCTACTTACCTCAGCACCATCTAGAATTTTGAATTATGGAATTTATTTTATACAAGACACTGACAACATTTTCTCCCCAGTTTTTACAAATAGATCTTAGAAGGAATGGGTATTTATCATGTAGTCTGTGACAAGTGGTGCATTACCTCAAGGTAATTACCAACCCCAGGAGGACTTTGGATAAACAATTACTTTTGTTCCAGAGATGTGGCTTGAATGCTTTATTTTAAATGAGAAAGATGAAGAAGTAACATAATTGACTATAATGTGGCCATTACAAAATAACACATGTTTCCTTCACCAGGAGATTTTGATTAAAAGAATAACAACAGCAAAAACAACACATCCTTAAATTATACCAGTCAAAAATTATTTATTTTGATGCCTGTCAGATACTTAAAGATACTTTAAAGCATTTAGTTGTATAAGAAAATTCTTAAGTAGAATCTCAACACTATTAAGAAAAATCCTTAGGCACTATAATTTTCTTTTTTAAAATTTTAATTCATATTATTGAAAATCTTTCTTAAATACATCGTTCCTCTTTTTAATTTAATTTTATTTTTATTTTCATTGTTGTTGAAGTACAGTTGTCTCCATTTGTCTTTGTTGCTCAATTATCTGAATGACTGAAATAAACCATGTCTTGAATGAATGGACATAAAAGTAAGAGCTCATGACTCAGGCAACTGGGTTTGAATATCACTTTTTTTTAATGTCACTTTTTGCCATTTCACAACTGTGAGATGTTGAGCTACTTATTTCTTTCTACTTTTACTAATTAGTAAGTTGTGAATAATTGTCCACCTCACCAGATGGAGGTGGACAATTGACCACCTCTGGTGATGGTTGAGATAACACATGTAAATACTTAGCCCCTGTTCAGCAGATTTTACTCATTTGATGACTTTTAGCTTTCTTGTTAAATTACAGCAATGTGATATACACATGCATCATTGCTTTCAACTGCAAAACACTGAATGGCCATCAACTGATGGAATCATCTATAGAATGGCCTACTACTCAAAAAATAAAGGAAAAAACTGGTAAAGGTAAACCATGTTATTGGATTTCAAAACATTGCAATGAGGATCAGAAGCCAGACTCAAAAGGTTACAAACTGTTTGCTTCTACCCAAGATGATCACATTCTGGGAAGGGTAAAAGTATGACATAAATCACACCGATGTCATCTCAGTGGTTGTCAGAGGCTGGTAGATGGAAGGGAGCTATCTGTTAGGGCATCATGGAATTTGTTAGGCTGGATGAAATATACTATCTTGATGGGGGAGGTGGTTATAAGACAGTCGGGGTTTGTCAAAAGTCACCAAAATAGGTACGTAAAAAGAGTGATAATTTACTGTAAAGCACTAATGGCACAATAAACCTGACTAAAACACTGAGTATGCAACTCATTGTGTGATCATTTTTAAGTTGAAATATTTTTTATTTATTATTCTTTTTGCTTCTTCCTGATAAAAACTCTTTTTCAAGGTTTTTAATTATAATATCTTGTTCAGTAAATTCAATCTTCTTTTTCAGTGTTTATTTGATTTATGGTTTAGTAATAATAATCTCTTCTTTTTTAAAAACATTCTCCCTTTCCCTCTTATGATAACTCACTATACTGATTCTCTTTCCATCTCTCTTAACTCACATTTCTGATAGTTCAGTTATAAATAATTTAAAAGTATTTTTATATTTTAAATTGTTAAGTTCCATACATCTGTAAATAAATATGCATTTGATAGATGTCAATTGGGGCAGTTTTTAAGGCTTGAAGTTGGGAATGTTACAAATCAATTTTGGGGTTCTTTGAACTAATTTTTGTTGTTTTTCAGTTACAGTTATCACACCTTTTTCCATGTTGCTCTCCCCTGTCCTGTCCCCAAACCACTCCCACAGTCAATCCCCTTCCACTGTCCATCCCCATGAGCCTTCCATTCATCTTTCTTGATGTGCTTCTTCCTCTTCTTTCCCCGATTATCCCCCTCATCCCTTCACTCTGGTCACTGTCAGTTTGCTCTTTATTTCCATGTCTTTGGTTCTATTTTGCTCATTTGTTTGTTTTGTTGATTAGATTCCACCTATAGGTGAGTTTTATGGTATTTGTCCTTCACTGCCTGGCTTATTTCATTTAGCATAATGCCCTCCAGATCCACACATACTATCAAGCAAGGTAGGAGCTCCTTCTTTCTTTCTGCTGTGCAGTATTCCATTGTGTAAATGTACCATAGTTTTCTGATCCACTCAGTTACTGATGAGCACTTACACTGTTGCCAGCACTTGGTTATTGTAAATAATGCCGCTATGAATATTAGGATTCATAGATCAATTTGAATTGGTGATTCAAGATTCTTAGGGGATAATCCCAGCAATGGGATTGTTGGATCAAATGGCAATTCCATTTTTAGTTTTCTGAGGAAATTCCCTACAGTTTTCCAAAGTGGCTGTACCAGTCTACAACCCCACCAACAGTGCACTAGGGTTCCCTTTTTGCTACAATCTTGCCAGCACTTGTTGTTTGTTGATTGGCTTATGATGGCCACTCTGACAGGGTGAAGTGGTAGCTCATTGTGGTTTTAACATGAATGTCTCTAATGGCTAGTGATGTTGAGCATTCTTTCATGTGTCTATGGGCCCTCTGTGTGTTCTCCTGGGAGAAGTGTCTGTTCAGGTCCTTTGTCCATTTTTTAAGTTGGATTGATTGTCTTCCTGGTGTGGAGTCATGTGAATTCTTTATATAATTTGGAGATCAAATCCTTGTCCAAGATATCATTGGCAAGTATGTTTTCTCATACAATTGGTTCCCTTTCCAATTTGTTGATTTTTTCTTTAGTCATGAAGATTTTAGCTTGATGAGGTCCCATTTCTTTATTCTTTCTTTTATAGCCTTACCATAGGGGATGTATCAGCAAAAATATTGCTACATGGAATATCTGAAATTTTCCTGTTTATGTTTTCATCTAGGACATTTATGGCTCAAGACTTCTATTTAAGTATTTTATCCATCTTAAGTTTATTTTGGTTGATGGTGTAAGTCAGTGGTCTAGTTCCATTTTTTTTTGCATGTAGTTGTCCAAATCTCCCAACACTATTAATTGAAGAGGTTATCTTTACTCCATTTTATTTTCCTTTCCCCATTGTCAAATATTAATGGACCATACTGACATGGGTTTATTTCTGGTCTCTGCATTCTATTCCATTGATCTATGTGTCTGTTCTTATGACAGTATCAGACTGTTTTGATTGCAGTGGCCTTATAATATAGTTGGATATCAGGTATTGTGATCCCTCCTGCTTTGTTCTTTCTCAAAATTGTTGAGGTATATGGTACCAAAATTTTGAGGTTATGGTACCATATACATTTTTGAAATATTTTTTTCTGTATCTGTGAAATATGTCATTGGTATTTTGATAAAGATTGTGTTGAATCTATAAATGTCTTTGGGTAATATGGACATTTGAACAATGCTAATTCTCCCAATATCATGAACATGGTATGTTTCCATTTATTTGTGTCTTCCTTAATTTCTTTCTTCAGTGTTCTATAGTTTTACGCAAATCAAATTTCTAAACAGCATCCAACATGATGTTACAGACTTTTTCCTTAGATGTGGAGATACCTTAACTGCATTGAAGTTTGGCAGACTGAATTTTCCAGAAGATACACATATAAATATACAACCTAAGTGAGTAAGATAAAATGTTATAGGAAACTACAATGGGGAAGAAAATAGCTAGGTATCCATTCTTTCGCACGAAATTCGGTTTAGGTAAACTCTCCCACTTTCTTACACCTTGCTCATTGTAGAATTCTATGATACCTTTAAGTCTTGCTTTCCACATCTGCAAAATATGTAAAACAATAATACCAATCTAAAAGACTGCTGTAGAGGTTAATTGCAAATTCAAATGGAAAATTGTGAAATAGTACTTCATAACTGCATAATGAGTTCTCTGGGCAAATAAACTCTCTGGGCTTTATTTTATTTTGTTTTACTTTATGATGTGGAATCTAAAAAATCTGTAATTTCACTATCTTGTAGGATAAGAATTATAGGTAATATCATATTCTGCTGTCTATATTGCACTCCCATGTATAACATTCACTGACATTTGTAGTCTAAAATTTCATGAAAAAAATCTTTCATTTTAATTTTTAATTCAATTATTTATTTATACTTAGATACTTGTTTTTGTGTATCGTAAACTTGTTTTTGAATGTACAGATATGATTATTACTTTCTAGAGTTACACTTTTAATGCATAAGCATAAGTTAAAGATTTAAAAACATTTATATAGACACAAAATTAATACTACCCATGTATAATGTGCATCCTTATTTTGCCCTAAAAAATTGGGCAAAAACTTTGCATTATACATGGCAAACTATAGATAATTGCAAAAAGCCCTCAATTTTAAAATCATAAATAAGAAATTCATTTTTCATTCAATGTCCTATTTGCCCATGGAATAGTTTTGCCTTAAATATTGTACAATTGATATTAATTTTCTTCTCTCATTAATTTCACTCCAGGAGCAAGTTGGATTAGAGGTAAAATTACCAAGAAAATTGATGGGGCACACATAGACACACGCACACACACCACATATATGGAAAAGAAGAATAATTTGATAATGAGCTATGCTCACTTGGAATAAGCTAAAATACAAAAAGAGAGGCATATAATGGGCAACTGAATTATTTTCTACTTCGGCAAAGACTTTAGGTAAAATAGTCATCAGTAACCACTCATAAAGCAATGTTTGACTCCACAAATAGGCAAGGGATTATATTTTATTTTCTCTTGAGACGAAGTTTCTGCCCCCGGAGGTCTGGTTCCACAATGAAGCACTATAATACAGTCCCTATGGTTACTCAATTTGCTTTTAGGAAAACAAAATAAAAGTGGAGCAACGTGTATTTACTCACAAGATGTCTCAAATTTTTACAAACAGGTAATTCAAATGTTCACTGCATTTCATATCATTTTAAAATAAAAATACTTTAAAACCTTTTAGCTACAACTGAGAACTGCTGACAAACAAAGAAAGAAATAGACTGTACAGGTAAGACACCAGGGAGAAAGCTGTGAGGATTCGAAGCTATCATTCACCAAAGTGGACAGGTATTGTCAGCCACAAGGCAGTATTTTAATACTGTAACTAGAGCTTCTTCAGCATATGATGGGTGTATAAATATTAGTTATTAGAAATGGTCACAATTTTTACTATGTGGGTACATGAATGTTATTTTCAGAAGGCAATGAATGAACTTGGGAGTTGAAGAATAAACAGAATGGTCTTGAGGAAAAACCTGTACTTGAGTTAAAACTACATACTCTTTGGAAAATAGGTGGTACCTGAACAAGCATGTTTTTATCCTTTACACTTTGGATGTAGGCTGGGAGATAAAAAGAGAACAATATGTGTTGGTTGCTGCAGAAACTGAGGGGCAGAGTGTGCACTTGACCAGGAATGTGAGAGGCGTGAAACCAGGTTCATTTCACACAATTGCTGAGTGAATTCAAATTCTGGTCCATTTGTCCAGTAATTATCCCCTACCATCAGTAGCTTTATTTATTATGCTATATTATCCTAGGTTTCTATTTCCATGTGCAAGTGTCTCCATTAAGATTTCCATTTTTCCTTTTAACTTTTGCAAGACACAACAGTTAACCTAATGTAAGTACAACAAAATTGTCTTTGTAATACATGAGGAGAACAAATTATACTTTGGTGACTGAGTTCATCCTGCTGGGATTGGCAGACACACTGGAGCTACAGATTTTCCTCTTCTTGCTCTTTTCTGTGATTTACACACTGACAGTTTGGGGGAATTTGGGGATGATCCTCTTAATCAGGAGTGATTCCCGACTTCACACACCCATGTATTTCTTCCTGGCTAACCTGTCCTTTGTGGACATGTGTTATTCCTCCACCATCACCCCAAAGATGCTGGTGGATTTACTGTCAGAGAAGAAAACCATCTCCTTTGCTGGCTGCTTTCTGCAGATGTACTTCTTCATTGCCTTGGCCACAACTGAATGCCTCCTCTTTGGGCTGATGGCCTATGACCGTTATGTGGCCATATGCAACCCTCTGCTTTACCCCGTGGTCATGTCCAAGACAACCTGCCTGAAAATGGCAGCAGGGGCTTTCACAGCGGGACTGCTGAACTCCATGGTGAACACAAGCTATGTGAGCAGGCTGCCATTCTGTGGTTCCAATGTCATCCACCACTTCTTCTGTGACAGCCCTCCACTCTTTAAGCTCTCATGCTCTGACACACACCTGAATGAAAGCATCATTTCCACATTTGCTGGAGTGAATATGGTCGGGAATCTGCTGATCATCCTCGGATCCTACTCCTACATTCTCCTCTCCATCTTTCGTATGCATTCCGGGGAGGGACGGTACAAAGCTTTCTCAACCTGTGCCTCTCACCTGGCAGCTGTAACTCTATTCTACTCCACTGCCATCTACACTTATCTGAGACCTACTTCCAGCTACTCCCTGGGTCAGGACGAAGTGGCTTCTGTCTTCTACACAGTGGTGATCCCCATGTTAAATCCTCTGATCTACAGCCTCCGGAATAAGGATGTAAAGAAAGCTTTATGGGATGTAATTACAAGGAAAAGGACCTCTTCATTCCTGTGATTGTTCTGTTAATTTTCTAAACCTTTCAGACTATTTAATGCATTTCCTAAGCTGATTCAAAGCTAAGTACTTTATTAGAGGATTTTTAAGTAATCACATTGTATAATAGTTATATATACACAGAGAGAGAAAAACTACCTTAAATTTACCCAACTATAAATTACCAAACTTATGTACGATGATGCCCCTTACACAAACCAGTCTGTATCTTCAGTGCTTCCCCCCAAATGAGGTCTGTTTGTAGTAATATCTTGCCTTGGAAAAGAAAACTATAGACATTTAGCAACAAAAGTCAAAATCTGATACAAAACTAGCCATTGGCAATACTTGTAGTTATTGATATGTTTTTCCCCAATGCATTATTATTCACCATTTATGATTTGCCAATATTGTTATGTGTCACATATATCAGACTTAATTTGAAAACTATTGAGACTTAATGATTATATTGGTTGACATTTTATAATGCTTTTCTTTAGTTAAAGTCTTAGAATATTTATTAAACCCTCCCCTGGGAATGTCAAATTTTTGCCTTGTGTTACACTGTCTCAATAGCTTTTTGTTTTTCTAATTCTTCTAGTGTTTTATTTTACTTGAATGATTAAGATTAACACATTCCTTAAATAAGCAAATATCAATCAATGTTCTGTTTTATTCAATTTTTGAGTAATTTACATATTAAAATTAGTGAAAATTTGAAATGTAAGCCTTTGAAATATATTCTGGTCAATATTTTCTTCAGTGACTAAACATGACCAAAAAGAGAGTAAGTGAAAGCCTGTGAATGTCACAAAGTTGGAACTGTCAGGCAACATATGAAAGAAGTGTAAAGCTCTCTATTCAAGAATTGCATTGACACAAGTAAATATCTCATAAAGTATGATGTTATTAATATGATGTTGTTAGTAGCTGGAGTCCTGCTTCAAACATCTGCGTGAGCCGGCACTGTGCAGGAAAGGGTCATGTCACTCAGCCTGGTTGGCCCGACTTTGAATATTCTTAGGTCTACAGGACTGGACCTCGACTGGCATCCAACAGGAAACCTCTGAAACCTTGGCTAGTCCTGCCTGATAAGGGCATCTTTGTATCCTGGGCCCACACTGAACAGTATATACTAACAGTGAGAGTCATAGTGAATGCCTATTTTTGCAGCTTTGGGCTAAGCTGCCTCAGTTGAAAATCAGGCTGGGGCAAGTGGAGACTAGGTAACCATGGACATTGATGTGAGCCCCCCATGTCCATGTACTGACCCTCAGTGAAACACTGGACACCAGAACTTGGTGAAGCATTTCTGGTTGGTGACACTCCATCTGAGCTGTCAGACAGCACAGCTGGAGCTTTAAGTGCTGCTTGAACGATTGTGCTACGAGGTGACATGTGGAATCTCAGGCCTGGTTTCTCCTGGACACAGCCGTGCATACTTTTTCCTGGGTTACTTTAATCTGGTTCTTTAGCTGTAATAAAACATAAGCACAAGTACAATGTAAACATACCACTTTTGTGTGTCATATCAATCATCAAACCTGATGGTGGTCTTGGGAAACTCAGAATCAAGCACTAAATTCAAAAACTTTTCTCAAGTTCTGTCTTTTTGTCTCTTTACGTCTTCATTATTATATTATGTAAAATATACAATTTCAGTTTATTCTAAAATAAAGTGAATTTGTAAATTAGAGAACAAAGTAAATGAGCACTTGTAAACTCTCCTCCCCCTGTAGAGAAAACACTCAGAGCCTTGCATTGCCATAATGGAAGCCTCAGAGACCCCTCCCATCACCCTTCTCCCTTCACAGTGACAACCACATTCGGTGTTTCTCATGATTCCCTAGCTTTTACTTGTAAAAATATATTCAGCTCTATTTCTAATACTATATTTTTAGAAAACCTGGTTTTACATTAGCAGTGTAATATTACAAAGTGTGTCTTCTCTGTTGCTTGTTTTCCTTCAGTATTGTTTCGGACATTCTACCATGTTCGTGTGTATTCCTGCACCATTTAATTTCACACTCGTGGGGTATTCTTTCTCTTCAGTATGTCCTGGTTAAATTGTTATTTACCTTCTCTTCTGACCAGTGTTTGTAGGAATGTTAACTTACATGTCACTCACTGCACAGGTAGAGGATTCATACAGGTATAACTCTGGATGTGGCACCACTTACATATAAGGTGTATGTACATGTTCATTTTTTAAATATAACAAACCGTTTTCTCAATTTCTTGTTTATATTTATACTGTCAACAACAATAGCACATAAGACCTCAGTTTCATACCCTTACCAACACTTGCTAGAATCAGACATTTATCTTCTTTTTTCAATACTGTAAGTGTGACAGACAAATAACCTTTTAGGACACATATGAGACCATTATTTCCCTTGTATTAGGTAGACACATTTCCTTTTCTGAATGAAGATAGCCTATTTTCACCCACTGTTTAATTTTGAACATATGCCCATATATTTTCTTCTTGAATGACACTTAATAAATATGTTAAATTTTCATGAATGTGTAGACCTCTCTAGACTCTATTCATCAGTCAGTGTCAGACTTCATTACTAAGCTTTCCTTCACAGAAGGGCATTAGTAGTTCTTACCTATTTCTTCAGAAAGGGCTTGGTAATTTTGTTCTCTGGTAAGCCTCTTAATTCCCAATTGGTACACACAGATGTGAAAGTTGTACATTGAAAATGGCTGGTGAGAAACAGTGGGTTCATTTGCAATATGACGTTGGATGAGCTCTATGTTTACCCGGGGTCCACAGAAGAGGTGTGGGTCCTAGATCAATGAAGCTTGAAATATCCGGGAGACAAAATAGACACAACTGAGGCTGTCCTGGTTCAGGCACATCATGAGAAGGCAGGGTTCTTAGAAGAAGAAAATAGTGCTGGAAGGTATAGAAGGCAGCTGGAAGAAGAAGAAGACCAAAGTGACATGGCTTGACCCCACCAAGAGAGACCTAGGCATGAGTCTCCTTTGCCTGAGCAGGGCTGTTGAGGACAGAACAGTGTGGACATCACTCATCCATAGGGTCACCAGGAGCCAGAGCTGACCCAAGGGCATATAGCCCAACAATGCCACCAAAGTGTTACAGTTAGTCTGTCATGTTTATTAATTTTTTATAATTGTTCAGTTATAGTTATCCCAATTTTCCCCCTCTTGCTTTCTGCTGCCCTGCCCTGGCCTCCCTCAGTCAGTCCCCACCCTTTTGTCCTTGTCTGTGTGTCCTTTATACTTGTTTCTTGAGTAGACCTTTCCTCTCTTTCCCCTGTTATTCTATTCCCCCAACCCTCTGGCCCCTGTCAGTTTGTTCCTTATTTCCAAGTGTCTGGTTGTATTTTACTCATTTGTTTGTTTTGTTCATTAATAAAAGTTTGTTTACAATTGTGTTTTATTTGTAGATCAATTTTATAAAACAATATCTTTAAAATATTGAGTCATTTTTACAAGCATGTTATCACTATTGGAATTATTTATTTTAAGTATTTTAATTATATTTTGTAATCTCCATGTGTTATGAGTATCTATTGCTAGATCGATAATCTTGAAGGCTTGGTACATGAGAAACTTGAATTTTAAACATTTTCTACAGCGATGTAAGGACATACTAATAATTTTTGGATTAAATATCAGCCCAGAGAAAATGTAATACTAATTCTTATAATTTTTCATTTCACTTCTTTACATAGTTTATTCCTTCACTTTTTAAGTTTTCTTTGTGTTTTTTTTTCTTTGCTCTGCTGGGTATAGCCTCCAATGAATTTTTACCTAAAATGGGTGACATTGGACATCATTGTCCTTTACATGTTTTAAAATAAACACCACTAATCTTTTTCAATCTTAAATTGTGAGTGAAATTACTTATAAGCCTCCAATAAAATTTGTCTTTTATATTTAAATTTTTAAATTTATTTCTTATTTTATTTTATTTTTAGAGAGAGGGGTAGGGAAGGAGAAAGAGAGGGAGAGAAACAGCAATGTGTTGTTGCCTCTCACATGGTCCCCACTTAGGACCTGGCCCACAACCCAGGCTTGTGTCCTGACTGGGAATCAAACCACGACCCTTTGATTCACAGCCCACGCTCAATCCATTGAGGTACACCAATCAGGGCTATTTTTAAAATTTATTTAATTGTTGTTCAAGTACAGTTTTCTGTTTTTTACTCCCATCCCAGCCCCCACCTCACTTTTATTCCCCCCCCTTAGTTGTTGTCCATGTGTCCTTTATACTAGTTCCTCTAAACCCTTCTTCCCCTTTTCCTCTGAAATTCCCTCCCCTCTCCTGTCTGGTTACTATCCCCCTGTTCTTTATTTCAGTGTCTTTGGTTATATCTTACTTGCTTGTTTGTTTTGTTGTCTAGCTTTTTGTTAAAGGTGAGATCATATGGTATTTGTCTTTCACCACCTGGCTTATTTCACTCAGCATAATACTTTCCAGTTCCATCCAGGCTGTTGCAAAGGGTAGGAGCTCCTTCTTTCTTTCTGCTGCATAGAATTCCAGTGTGTATATGTACCATATTTTTTGGATCCATTCATTTACTGATGGGCACCTAGGTTGCTTCCATCCCTTGGCTATTGTAAATTGTGCTGCTATGAACACTGGGGTGCACAGGTCCTTTGACCATCATAATCAAAGGAACAAACAGTGGAGAGGTTGTGGAGAAAAGGAGACCCTAATCCACTGATGGTGGGATTGCAAACTGGTACAACCACTATGGAAAATAGTAAGGGATAAAAGGGGAGGGAGTTGGAGGAACAAGTATGAAGGACACAGGGATGAGAACTAAGGGGGGTGGAAATGTGAGGGAGGTGGGGAGCATGGGGCAGGGGTGTGGAGAGGGAGAAATAGACAAACAACTGTACTTGAAAAATAACTAAATAAAATAAATAAATAAAAAGAAAATAGTATGACATTTTCTAAAAAAACTAAAAATGGATCTGAATTATGACCCAGCAATTCCACTCCTAGGATTATATCCTAAGAACCCTGAAGCACCAATCCA